GGGCGACGTGGCCAAGGACCTGGCGCTGCAGCTGCCGCCGATCCCGGACCGCGGTTTCCGCGTTGTCTCCGAAGGTAGGACGCAGTATTTCGCTCTGCACGGGCAGACGGGACATTTAGTGACGGCGGAGAGGATAGACAGAGAGCAGCTGTGCCGACTGGTGGAGAAATGCGTGCTGCGCTGTGAGGTGATCGTGGAGGGGGAAATGAAGGTGTACGAAGTCGAAGTGGCAATCACGGACATTAACGACAACGTCCCCAGCTTCCGGGACATAGAAACGGAGCTCAGAGTAAGCGAGATGACAGCCCCGGGCTGGCGGTTTCCCTTGATCGAGGCTTACGACCCGGACGTGGGAGCAAATGCCCTGCAGGGCTACAAACTGAGCGGCGACGAGCACTTCTCGCTGGCCGTGCAGGAGGGCCCCGGCGGGGACCAGCGTCCCGAGCTGGTGCTGGCGAAGGCGCTGGACCGGGAGGAGGCGGCGTTTCACGAGCTGGTGCTGAGGGCGATGGACGGCGGAGAGCCGAGGCGGACGGGCACGGCGCGGATCCGCGTGTCGGTGCTGGACGCGAACGACAACGCGCCCGTGTTCAGCCAGGCGGAGTACACGGTGCGTGTGCCGGAGGACGTGCCCGTGGGCTCCGTTCTCGTCACTGTTACGGCCAGTGATCCCGACGAGGGCATGAACGGACACGTGAAATATAGTTTCCATAAAATTTCAGACCGTGCGTCGGAACTTTTTCACCTGGAGTCTGAGACAGGAGAAATATCTCTAAAGGAAGATTTGGACTACGAGGAAATCTCCTCACATGTACTCGAAGTGCAGGCTCGGGACGGAGGAGAGCTTTTCGATACGGCGAAACTCTCGATTGCAGTAACAGACGTAAATGACAACATCCCCCAGATTTCTGTGAGGTCGGTGCTAAGTGAGATCTCTGAGGACGCCACGCCGGGGACGGTGGTGGCCCTGCTGCACGTGCAGGACAGGGACTCGGGGACCAACGGCGACGTGCGGTGCTCCCTGGACGGCGGCGTTCCGTTCCGGCTGCGGAGCTCGCGGGGCAGTTACTACAGCGTGGTGACTGCACAGGAGCTGGACC